ATATTTGGTATTTGCAATGTTGCCAGATTTTCAGTTTCTCTTATATTATTAGTAACTTTGGTGTTTCAAATGCATCACCCTGTATATTCAGTCATTATTGGAATCTCCTATTAAATACGAGTTCAACCATATGTAACACTTATGATTTTATGTAGTCTGGAAGGTCTTAAATACATAAAACAGAAGTCTGGCAACGCCTAAATTGTTTTAACACATTTTTTAATACTAATAATTTTTTTAAACTATTTTCAAATACATTAAAACGTAACAATTGATAGTTTAGAATATTTTTTAACATAATAGTTACGTTATTAAGTGTTCAAAATGTGCTCCATTTGTGAGTTGACAGCACTCTAATCGATGGTAGAATGCGTCTACCACATTTCTCCATGATTGTCTAGAAATTATTCGAGATTCATCCATAATTCATTGACTTAGCTATGCAAGACTTGCTGGTTAAGTTTTGTAAACTGAATTTTTCAAGTATCTCTAATAAAAATAATCGTTAGGATTGAGATCGGGTGAACGTGGAGGCCATTCAATTCTACCTTGTCTACCAATTTATCGTCCGGGAAATATCTCATCTAAATAACGCCGAACATTTACACCAACTATCTGACGTTAAATTTATTTCGATAAAAAATGGCCCAATTAAATAAGTACCAACTATAACTGACCATACATTTAATTTTTGTGGTCTTTGAGTATGGTTTTCAGGCATTCAGTGTGAATTTCACACGAGTTCAACTATTCAATACGAGTTCAACCATATGTTCACTTGATTTTATGTAGTCTGAAAGATCTTAAATACATAAAACAGTGCAAAATATGTAGATTTTAATAAATGGAGAATGCTGTGATTTTGACATTTGTTCACCATTTAAATTATGAACTAAAATTGACAGTAGTTGTGGCTCGAAAAGTTCTGCAATTTAAATTGCTTCTCTAAAATGCCGTTCTCTAAACCGTTCTCCTATTCATAAGACGACGCGACGGTACAAAAAACTGTAAGGCGATTTGAGGAATCTGGAGAAGTAAAGTAAAAGATAGATACCGATCAGGTTGACCAAAACGAGTTATCAATGATAACAAAACTTCAGATATAAGCAAAGTTTTGTTGAAGATCCACATACATCCCCAGGCAGGGTTGCACAAGTACATGATGTAAGTCATTCTTCAGTCTTACGTTTATTACGTAAAAATAAATTTAAATCATACAAAATTAACTTATTGTAAGAATAAAGTGAAGATGACTTTGGTCGTAGATTAGAGTTTACTGAGGTAATGATGGATAAAATTGAAAATTATTAAAATTTCGTTAACAGAATATGTTTTTCCGATGACGCAACTTTTACACTGTGTGGAAGTAAATCGACACAATTTAAGGTACTGGTGTGACGTAAATTCACACTGAAGACTGAATGAGTGAAAACCATACTCAAAGACCACAAAAATTAAATGTATAGTCAGATATAGTAGTTAGTTATTCAATTGGGTCATTTTTTGTCGAAAGAAATTTAACGTCAGATAGTTGGGGTAAATGTTCGGCGATATTTAGATGAGATATTTTCTGGACGATAAATTGGTAGACAAGGTAGAATTGAATGGCCTCCATGTTCACCCGATTTCAATCCTAAAGATTATTTTTATTAGGGATACTTGAAAAATTCAGTTTACAAAACTTAACGAGCAAGTCTTGCAGAGCTTAGGCAACGAATTATCAATGAATCTCGAATAATTTCTAGACAATCATGGAGAAATGTGGTAGACGCCTTCTACCATCGATTAGGGTGCTGTCAACTTACAAATTGAGCACATTTTAAACACTTAATAACGTAACTACAATGTTAAAAAATGTTCTAAACTATAAATTGTTACGTTTTAATGTATTTGAAAATAGTTAGTATTAAAAAATTTATTGAAACAATTTAGGCGTTGCCAGACTTCGGTTATGTATTTATGACCTTCCAGATTACATAAAATCATAAGTGTTACATATGGTTGAACTCGTATTGAATAGGAGATTCCAATAATGACTGAATATACAGGGTGATGTATTTGAAAAACCAAAGTTACTAATAATATAAGAAAAACGGCAAATCGGGCAACATTGTAAATATCAAATATGGAATCTCCGTATGCCAAAATAGGTGTACCTCAAATTTTGTACAATTATGATTAGCATTTTACGAGATAATTAGCCGTTTCGAGACTTTTGGGCCACTCTGTATGTTGGTTGCTATTCTAATCTACAACAGAGAGAAACAGATGAATAAAATCAAACTGCAGAAATTACAAGAAGAATAAGAATGACCTGGTAGCAGTAGGTAAACTAATTTTTATTATAATAGATCCAAAAATTCTAGTTAATTTAAAACCAAAGGTTTCCAACACATGTATTCTTCCTTTCATGACTTATGGAATGGAGACCATGACACTTACTAACCAATATCTCAATAGACTAGAACAACTCAAAAAAATATTCCGACAATCATATATATGTAAGCTTAAAAGATCACATGAGAAACGAAGATCTAAGAAGAAAAACTAAAACAAGATGTTATCCAAGCTAACGTAAAATCTAAATGGAAATGGGCAGAAAATATGACAAGAGAGAGCGAAGAAAGGGGGCAAAGAGACTAACACAATGGTGACCAAGAGCACATAAACGGGCATGGAGAAAAGATGGATCGACGACACTAAAGAAAAGGCAGGGAGAAACTGGCACCAGATATTTCAAGACAGGCGAACATGGAAAAGACAAGCAAAGAAGATACTCAATGTATTACACAATTATACAATGTGTTCTCCTAGCAGTATAAGTTTTAATACGTAATACGTAATGCGTAATACGATACGCAGATCTCTACTATCAATGCCGTTGGTTCTTAATAGCCAGTCTAGCAAGGATAAAACAGAATTAACATTAAGGAAATCCGTAATAGTATATGTTACGAAATTATTTATGCAAAGCGGTGTTAAGCGAAATTGAATGTGAGCTGTAATAAGCGAGTGGTCAGAAAGTCCCACAAAAGAGGACATTTTACACAAGTGTAGAAATTAACTGATTGTCGTTTGTGAAAAATAGGTCAACAATTTAAGAATTATTGTTGTACCTAACCTTGTAGGTTCTGTTATCAGTTGCATTAAATTTAAGTACATGATCACATGTAGCAATAGCACGTTTCTTTGTTGTCGGAATATAAGGTTAGAACGTCGCCTGAGAATGCTTCGATATTACGAATTTTGGTGTTACAGAAGAATCCTACGAATATCATGGATTCAAAGAATGTCAAGCGTGGAAGTAACTAGAAGGATAGGAAATAAGGCGGAAATAATATTAACTAACAAAAGACGAAAACTTGAGTACTTAGCACATGTGATGAGAGGGCAAAAATATGCATTATTATAACTTATTATGCAAGGCAAAATCCAAGGAAAGCGAAATATGGGAAGACGAAGAATATCCTGGCTTAAGAACTTAAGGAAATGGTTTGAATGCAGTAGTGCAGAACTTTTTAGAGCGGCAGTCAACAGAGTCCGCATATCCATGATAATTTCCAACCTTCGATAGAAGATGGAACTTAAAGAAGAAGAACATGATGAAGTTTTTAAACAAATTTTGGGAATTGATAGAAACAAATATTGGGCCAGCTAATTTTTGGAAAATTGAAATTTTCCCCGAATCCTTAATCAGGAAAATCATCTTCAACGAATCCTCAGTTATACTTAACATAAAAGAGAATCCTCTCCAAAATACAGGTGCTGTGAAAATTAACTCTGATTCCCATTCACTTACCATTTATTAAGGATGACAATCCCAAATTCTCCAGAATTTTTGCTCAATACTTACCAAATGTAAAAATTGCTTATAAAAGCACTCTAGTTGTGGAATCTTCGTACAAGTAATTGAAAGACAAACTACCAAACTCAGATAAAAGTCATTTTGTATACAAACTTAGTTGTTTAGGCTATGAAAGTTCTTATATAGGTCACACCCCTCAAAAAGTTTCCAGCCATTTGACTCTTCACAAGAGTGAGATAAGGTTACACCCTGATATATGTTCCCTAGCTACACATGCTAATACAATAGGACACTAGAGAAAGAAACCATTAATAAAAGACAGATACCAACATTCATAAAATTATGCAATTCTTTTTGCCTCTTCTTTTTCTGAAAATCCAGCGCCTATCAGGTATACTATTAACGTTACATATGTTATCATTCTAAGACTTACATTCAACGTTCTATCGTTTTAAGTTAATAATTATGAATTCACAACCAATTGTTTTGTTTCTGATTAAGTATATGTATAACCTAGAATTTTTAGAATATGGCCTACATTTTCTGTGATGATTTTACAACATAATTTTACTTAAATGTTTGTCTGTAAAAGTTTTTTTAAACATTTGTTTCGTTTAAAATCGTTTTTTTAAAACAAAAAAAAGTTTTTAATAGTTTCCGCTATTATTTGTAGGAGCCAGATGAGGTGTACATTCCATTTTCTTAATACCTCGACAGCTAACCTAAATTAGTGTTCAAAGATCAAAATGAAAATTTTTATTTTGTAATTTGTACTAATTTTGCTTATTGTAGCACCTTATGATGCAAATAAAAATTTGCGAAAGCTTGGTCAATTAGAAAGAGTACTTCTTTGTCCTGTCTTCCGCTGCATACCTAAATAGTTGTGGATTCTAACCGATCAGCGTTATAGATGTATATAGATCAACGAAAAACAATCTATATGTATTTCGGACATACAATTAAATATACAAATATAATCAGAGAGCTGAGTTAAGACGAAGAATAAGACTTGGGCAGAAGTGTTTTTGTACTAAACATTTTAGTGCCCATTTCAGCATTCTGAAACCTTGTGTTATTTCACATCAAAGTAGAAACATCCAGGAAATCAAACGTAAACAAAGTAACTAATAGGACTTTTTTTATTGCTGATTGATTTAGATAACAAAATAGAGAAGTAAATCAAAATAAGACTTACTTGCACGCCTATGGTTTTAGCCAACTTGGAAGCACTCAGTTTTTCTATCATATTCGTAGCAACCTGCAGTTGCCACTGAAAGTTGCACTGGACCTGTGAAGACGAAGACCACGGAAGCGCAAATGACGAGAGAAGTTGCCTCAATCGATCCATTAATGTAGATACAATCGAAAACGACGAAGAATGATTCAAATCTATGTTGTAGGCGGCACTAACGATTTGTCGAACTGCATCAGAAGCAGAAAGGTTGTGTTCTTGTTCGTGACAGCTTTTTTCTAGATTTTCTAGACACCTTTGGAGAGTTCCAGTAAAGCTTTCTTGCAAACAACCTACTGACTGAACAATTTGAGTGGCCACTGAGGTATTTAACCTCTTTAGTACAAGTTGTTGGATCTCCATTGTCGCTGTTTTGGAGGTACGCTGATGGCCAATGTCTATAAAACAAATTATATAATAATTCATATTAAATATCCATTATTTATAAAAAATATAGAGATGACTAAAATCGATTCTGGAGTCTGTAAAGCAATTACAGCCTAAACAACAATAAAAATCTTGATTGAAAAGAACGATTGAGCATATGAGAAAATATTACTAGAGTAACCCTTAGGAATACGATAAGAGAGCAGAGGAAAGGCTTACACACGAACTAGGTATTGGAGCATAAAAAAGTCAGCATATTAGAGAATAACTGAGAGTACAAAATGTAGTAGCTGATGCCAGAATAGAGACGGATAAGCCGAGCTAAGACTCAGAAATCAAACTCACATGGCTTTTTCTGCGAATTCTTTGGTTATTCGTATCACTTCCTATTTGTTTTGAGCTACTATTTCAGAGCTACTATATCATATTATATGTTATGATACAGTAAATATTTCAGCTGGACATAGGTAATATACATTGAGGTAAGTGTGGCAACTGCGATTTATTTATAAGTTATTGCAATGCAGTTAAAAACCTTTGAAAAATTTTATTGTGGGCTATAATGGGATCAGTGACATTTTCTTAATAAATTTGACATTTCCTCTTCTTCTTCAAGTGCCATCTTCGTTCCGAAGGTTGGCGATCATCAGGGCTATACGTATTTTCGAAATTGCTGACCGAAACAATTCGTTGTTGCTACAGCTATACCATTCCCGTAGATTCTTTAGCCAGGAGTTTCGTCTTCTTCCTATGGACTTTTTTCCTGCTATTTTCCCTTGCATAATTATTCGAAGCAGTTCATATTTTTCGCCTCTTGTAATGTGTCCCAAGTATTGTAGTTTTCGTTTTTTGATCGTAAATATGACTTCCTTTTCTTTATTCATTCTTCTCAAGACCTCGACATTTGTGACTCTCTCGATCCATGATATTCTCAGGATTCTGCGATACATCCACAGTTCAAATGCCTCTAATTTTTTGGTATCAATCTTTTTTAACCTCCATGACTCCATTCCGTAGAACAGCACAGAAAGCACGTAACATCTCATCAGGCGAAGTTTCATTTCAAGGCTCAAATCTCTTCCGCAGAACACTCTCTTCATTTGAGTGAATATGGATCTGGCTTTTTCTATTCTTATTTTGATTTCTGCTGAGCTATCGTTGTCTTCATTTATAAAAGTGCCTAAATATTTGTATTTGCTAACTCGATCGGTAATTTCATTGTGTAAATATAAATTTTGGACATTTTGTGTTGACTTCGATATAACCATATATTTAGTTTTCTTTATGTTCAAAGATAGTCCATATTCTTCGCTCCAGTCTGCTATCTTATTCACCAATGTCTGTAGCACTTCAAGTGTTTCTGCGATCAGAACGGTGTTGTCGGCAAATCTCAGATTGTTTAATCTAACACCATTTATTCTAATACCTACGGATTTCTCAGAGAGTGTTACGTCTTCGGAGTAGAGATTAAACAGGGTTGGTGACAGTATACACCCTTGTCTCACACCTCGCTTTATTTCAATTTCTTCAGTGGTATTATTCTCTACTCTCACTACTGCTTTCTGATTGTAGTATATATTTGCTATTAGTCGGAGGTCTCGTTTATCTAAATTCTTTTCTGTCAGGAGTCTGATTAGGTGATCATTCCGCACTTTATCAAAGGCCTAGTTGTAATCTATGAAACACATGAATACATCTTGATTTATGTCAAGACATCTTTGAGACATAACGTTCAGTGCAAACAACGCCTCTCTTGTTCCGAGTCCATTTCGGAATCCAAACTGGGTATTATTGATGTCCATTTCCAGTTTTCTGTGTACTCTAGAGTGTATAATTTTCAGGAATATTTTCAGTACATGGCTCATCAGACTGATTGTACGGTAATCACTACATTGTTTGGCATTTATCTTTTTCGGTATAATAACAAAGGTGGATAAAAGCCATTCTTGTGGTATTTTTCCTGATGTATAAATGCTATTGAAAAGTTCGACTAAAATGGGAATCGAGTCTTTTTCTATTAGTTTAAGGATTTCCGTTGGTATTTCATCTGGACCTGGGGCTTTACCATTTTTCATTCTATTTAGTGCGTAAATTACTTCCTCTTCCGTTATTTCTTGACCTTCGTCTCCTTGTATGTTACTTAGCTCAGATGGTTGTCTATCATCTGCAAAGAGTTCTTCAATATAGTTTTTCCATGTCTTCAACTGTTTTACTAGTTCTGTTATTATGTTTCCGTTGACATTATACAGTGTATTTGGCTGCTTACGTTTTTGTGTACCTGCAAGTTCTTTCACTTTTTTATGTACATTAAAAATATCATGTTTTGCCTACAATTGCTCTATTTCTTCACATTTTCTTTTATAAAAATCTTCTGTTGCTATTCTAATTTCTATTTTGATTTCTTTCTGTATTTGTTTATACCTTTGTTAGTTTTTTTTTTTTTCATTATTCTCCGATTGTCCATGAGAAGAAGGATCTTATCAGTCATCCACATTTGCTTTATTTTTGGTTTTTCTTTAGTCAGAATTTTTTTCGCAGGACCTGTTATCGTCATTTTTACGTTTTGCCATTTTTTATCTATGTTCGTTGGCTATAGTGTTCGTTGGCTGAGATATTTCTTTTTCATGAAGTATTTTCAAATTATTATTAATACATTTTTTGCAGTTTCTCCTTTACCTCCAGGTTACATAAATGACTGACGTATATCTGATTTGCTCTTCTTTTCTGCTCCAATCGTTTTAGTTTAATACTCATTTGCGCTATTAGAAGGTCTGAAAAGACGTCTGCGCCTGGGTAAGCTTTAACGGATTTTAAGGAGTTTCTTTATCGATCGTTTATCAGTAAAAAATCAATCTGGTTTCGAATTATTCTTTTACCACTATTCTGGGGTGATTTCCACGTATAAAGTCTTCTCTTTCGTAAGTTGAAGAATGTATTAGATACAATCATGTTATTCTCCTGGCAGAATTGAAGTAGTCAGTCACCTCGTTCATTTCTTTTACCGAGTCCGTATTCTCCTACATGTTTGCCACTTTTTCCTTTACCAATTTTTGAGTTACTAATGTATAAAACTTTTTTTGAAAACTTTTGACATTTACTAATGTATAAATCTAGAGACGGGAAGTCAAACTAGAAAACAGACTAAAACATGAAAACATAAATGAAGAGTGGGAATGATGCAGAAACATCATAAAAGAAGCAGCTGAATAATTACTAGGCATGAAAGGTAAACAAAGAAGAACAAAAACACACACAGAGCATATTTACAGGGGCATAGAACCCAACATCTTTAATCAGTGCATGTTGCCAGTACTTACATATGGTGCAGAGACATTAACACTAACCAAGAAAGTAAGAAATAAAATTTGTGTTACCCAAAGAGCCATGGAACGATCGATGTTAGGTATTTGTCGTAGGGATCGGATCACGAACAAGGAAATAAGACAAATAACATATGGAATAACAGATGGACACAGCGAATAATACAGTGGAGACCGAGACAAGAAGCACATCGAAGTAGAGGTCGTCCACCAACAAGATGGTCTGATGACATAAAACGGATCGACAAAAATTGGATGCAAACAGCACAAAACAGAAATACATGGAAAATACTGAGGGAGACCTATATCCAGCAGTGGATAGATCCGGGTTAAATGATGATGATGATGATGAGAACCCAACAAGCAGAGGCGGAATATAAATAAATACGTAGGGAAGAAAAGAAAACCCATCGCAGAAGTAAAAGATCTAAGTAAGCAAAAGAGAAGACAAAAGAAGTAAAGAGATAAGGAGGGTAATATATTAACACAACAGCAAGAAAAACTAACATGATGGAATTCCTGAATGCGACCAAACAAAAATGTTTTAGATTATCTTCATATATCAGATGTTCGTTTGTAATACTCCATTTAAGGGTTTTTACAAAAATATTGCTGTTAATTATGTGTTCTTAATATGCCATACCCTAAATAAAAAATAAATTCTCCGCTACTGATACGCTTCTTGGTAAAACCCGTATGGACAGCTAAATTATATGATGTTTTAACAGATCACGCGTATGACTCATTTTATTATTTCTTTGCAAGAGTATATTAAAACACGAGAGTCAGATGATATTGAAAAGGCATGGACAAGAATAAGCGTAAAAAAAGGTGACAAGAGACTTACTTGGATTGTTAAAACCTTCTAGCACTTCTGCGACGTTAGATTTCATATCCAAAAGCGTCCTGTTTATGATAGCTGTTAGCTGTTCTTGTTGCTCACATGCTAGATTCATTAGAGCGTCGTACAGTTGCAGCTCAATCTTTTGGGCATACTCAATGCGTTTGGGAGTTATTTGAATTTCGCGTGCCATATCAAATGCTCGCAGAATGAACTGTCGTAAACATTTGGTATGTATCTGAAACAAAAATGTCTTGGTTTACCTTAAAAATTTAAATTCCTCGGAAGATAATAAAAGCACTAAAACGCACATAATGTAAGAAACTCACCGGGGCAGTGCAAATAAAGGAAAAATATATATAAGGATCACTCAGACGAGTGGTGGGTTCTTATATCGGTCTCTAGGTGGAGAAATAAAAGACAAAGTTGATAGGCTACTTTATCTATTTTGAAGACGTTTCGCTTTCGAGTTTTGAAAGCATCATCAGTTCATCTAAAAAATTACAATATGAGAACCACACAATCATGGAAACGATGTTAATTGTTACCTTAAAAAGACATGTAGCAGTCAATGTTATTAACAATAATGTGAATGAAACTAAGTAAATGGACATAATACGCTGATTTTGTATAAACAATTAAGTAACTAACAACATATATGAATTTATAAAATTAGCACAGCAAATGACCATGTGGTCTAAAGTAAATTAAATGTTATTTAATGTTAATTAGTGAGAAAGAACCAAAAAAATCATAGATAACTTCCAACTATTTATATGAATATTAAGCTTTGATTTTAACTTTAGGTAGCATTATAAGTGATATTAATAAAATTTTAAAAGTAGTATAAATGAAGTTACCGATCAAAGCCCTACAAATGTCGCCGGGAAAATGGCGTTAGATGAAACAGGAACGAACTAAACCGCGAAAAGACAGCCAACCTTGAGGTCAAAAATACTTTCGACAGATCAACAAGGTGTAGATACCAACCCAAATTTTGGGCGGTCAATTTATGTTTAAATGAGTTTGGATGACTACCCGGTTGCAAAAGACAAAACAGTGAAAGAAGTTGGTAGTGTAATAGCAACTCCCCTCACTAATCAGCCCAGATATACAAACAGGAGATTTTCATTCAACCTCATAAGTATGTAATAACGTTAATCATTATGGCTAGTTAAACAGTAATTATTATTCTTTACATTACTTTACATTACATTACATTATTCTTCTTTACCTTATTTCCCTCAAGTTACTGAGAAGCTTATTAAATTGTATAAACAAAATAATATACCTGTTAAAATTGCTGTTAAGAATGCTAAAACTGTTAGAAATTTGTTCTCTGAAAATTGTTGTAGAAGGTTTTAACAATCCAAGTAAGTCTCTTGTCACCTTTTTTTACGCTTATTCTTGTCCATGCCTTTTCAATATCATCTGACTCTCGTGTTTTAATATACTCTTGCAAAGAAATAATAAAATGAGTCATACGCGTGATCTGTTAAAACATCATATAATTTAGCTGTCCATACGGGTTTTACCAAGAAGCGTATCAGTAGCGGAGAATTTATTTTTTATTTAGGGTATGGCATATTAAGAACACATAATTAACAGCAATATTTTTATAAAAATCCTTACATGGAGTATTACAAACGAACATCTGATATATGAAGATAATCTAAAACATTTTTGTTTGGTCGCATTCAGGAATTCCATCATTTTAGTTTTTCTTGCTGTTGTGTTAATATATTACCCTCCTTATCTCTTTACTTCTTTTGTCTTCTCTTTTGCTTACTTAGATCTTTTACTTCTGCGATGGGTTTTCTTTTCTTCCCTACGTATTTATTTATATTCCGCCTCTGCTTGTTGGGTTCTCATCATCATCATCATCATTTAACCCGGATCTATCCACTGCTGGATATAGGTCTCCCTCAGTATTTTCCATGTATTTCTGTTTTGTGCTGTTTGCATCCAATTTTTGTCGATCCGTTTTATGTCATCAGACCATCTTGTTGGTGGACGACCTCTACTTCGATGTGCTTCTTGTCTCGGTCTCCACTGTATTATTCGCTGTGTCCATCTGTTATTCCATATGTTATTTGTCTTATTTCCTTGTTCGTGATCCGATCCCTACGACAAATACCTAACATCGATCGTTCCATGGCTCTTTGGGTAACACAAATTTTATTTCTTACTTTCTTGGTTAGTGTTAATGTCTCTGCACCATATGTAAGTACTGGCAACATGCACTGATTAAAGATGTTGGGTTCTATGCCCCTGTAAATATGCTCTGTGTGTGTTTTTGTTCTTCTTTGTTTACCTTTCATGCCTAGTAATTATTCAGCTGCTTCTTTTATGATGTTTCTGCATCATTCCCACTCTTCATTTATGTTTTCATGTTTTAGTCTGTTTTCTAGTTTGACTTCCCGTCTCTAGATTTATACATTAGTAAATGTCAAAAGTTTTCAAAAAAAGTTTTATACATTAGTAACTCAAAAATTGGTAAAGGAAAAAGTGGCAAACGTGTAGGAGAATACGGACTCGGTAAAAGAAATGAACGAGGTGACTGACTACTTCAATTCTGCCAGGAGAATAACATGATTGTATCTAATACATTCTTCAACTTACCAAAGAGAAGACTTTATACGTGGAAATCACCCCAGAATAATGGCAAAAGAATAATTCGAAACCAGATTGATTTTTTACTGATAAACGATCGATAAAGAAACTCCTTAAAATCCGTTAAAGCTTACCCAGGCGCAGACGTCTTTTCAGACCATAACCTTCTAATAGCGCAAATGAGTATTAAACTAAAAAGATTGGAGCAGAAAAGAAGAGCAAATCAGATAGACGTCAGTCATTTATGTAACCTGGAGGTAAAGGAGAAACTGCAAAAATGTATTAATAATAATTTGAAAATACTTCATGAAAAAGAAATATCTCAGCCAACGAACACTATAGCCAACGAACATAGATAAAAAATGGCAAAACGTAAAAATGACGATAACAGGTCCTGCGAAAAAAATTCTGACTAAAGAAAAACCAAAAATAAAGCAAATGTGGATGACTGATAAGATCCTTCTTCTCATGGACAATCGGAGAATAATGAAAGAAAAAAACTAACAAAGGTATAAACAAATACAGAAAGAAATCAAAATAGAAATTAGAATAGCAACAGAAGATTTTTATAAAAGAAAATGTGAAGAAATAGAGCAATTGTAGGCAAAACATGATATTTTTAATGTACATAAAAAAGTGAAAGAACTTGCAGGTACACAAAATCGTAAGCAGCCAAATACCCTGTATAATGTCAACGGAAACATAATAACAGAACTAGTAGAACAGTTGAAGACATGGAAAAACTATATTGAAGAACTCTTTGCAGATGATAGACAACAATCTGAGCTAAGTAACATACAAGGAGACGAAGGTCAAGAAATAACGGAAGAGGAAGTAATTTACGCACTAAATAGAATGAAAAATGGTAAAGCCCCAGGTCCAGATGAAATACCAACGGAAATCCTTAAACTAATAGAAAAAGACTCGATTCCCATTTTAGTTGAACTTTTCAATAGCATTTATACATCAGGAAAAATACCACAAGAATGGCTTTTATCCACCTTTGTTATTATACCGAGAAAGATAAATGCCAAACAATGTAGTGATTACCGTACAATCAGTCTGATGAGCCATGTACTGAAAATATTCCTGAAAATTATACACTCTAGAGTACACAGAAAACTGGAAATGGACATCAATAATACCCAGTTTGGATTCCGAAATGGACTCGGAACAAGAGAGGACTCTCTAAAACTAAAACACCCTTGTCCACTTTGGAACAAGTTAACACAATTTATAAAATTCCATGCGCTAATTGCGATTTATGTTACATTGGTCAAACTGGTAGATCATTAAAAGGTCGTCTCACTTCACATCGTAGTGACATTAATTTATCAAAACACACTTGTGCCCTGGCACAACATGCGATAAACACCAAACATGAAGTGGATTTCAATGAAGTTAAGATCCTTGCCACTGAACGCAATCTAGCTAAAAGACAGTTTTTGGAAATGTGTTCAATACTAAAACACCCTAATGCTTTGAATAAGAGAACTGACATAAGTAACTTGAGCCAAATATATCATGCTTTAATTTTGCAGAATTAGGCTTCTTGATCTTTTCACTATATTAATGTCATATTAGGTGTACTGTTTGAACCTTTTTCCATTTTGCATAAAATAATTTATATACATAAAATAGAAATAAAATACATAAAATATCTTAATAATATAATTTAATATTCTTTACTTAATTTACTATTACATATGCAACTTACATTTCACAAATAATACAAATATTGTAATTGATTCATAGAATCCTTTGCAAAGCACAGTTTCAAGTATATTGAACCTTGGGCTGTTTGGAAATTAATGGGTCGTTAACCACCTGTGGCTGTTTAACTAGCCATAATGATTAACGTTATTACATACTTATGAGGTTAAATGAAAATCTCCTGTTTGTAAATCTGGGCTGATTAGTGAGGGGAGTTGCTATTACACTACCAACTTCTTTCACTGTTTTGTCTTTTGCAACCGGGTAGTCATCCAAACTCATTTAAACATAAATTGACCGCCCAAAATTTGGGTTGGTACCTACACCTTGTTGATCTGTCGAAAGTATTTTTGACCTCAAGGTTGGCTGTCTTTTCGCGGTTTAGTTCGTTCCTGTTTCATCTAACGCCATTTTCCCGGCGACATTTGTAGGGCTTTGATCGGTAACTTCATTTATACTTCTTTTAAAATTTTATTAATATCACTTATAATGCTACCTAAAGTTAAAATCAAAGCTTAATATTCATATAAATAGTTGGAAGTTATCTATGATTTTCTTGGTTCTTTCTCACTAATTAACATTAAATAACATTTAATTTACTTTAGACCACATGGTCATTTGCTGTGCTAATTTTATAAATTCATATATGTTGTTAGTTACTTAATTGTTTATACAAAATCAGCGTATTATGTCCATTTACTTAGTTTCATTCACATTATTGTTAATAACATTGACTGCTACATGTCTTTTTAAGGTAACAATTAACATCGTTTCCATGATTGTGTGGTTCTCATATTGTAATTTTTTAGATGAACTGATGATGCTTTCAAAACTCGAAAGCGAAACGTCTTCAAAATAGATAAAGTAGCCTATTAACTTTGTCTTTTATTTCTCCACCTAGAGACCGATATA